ACCATCAGATCCCTCGACCCATTGTTACGGATCCCCGATACATCGAAAAATACGCAGAACGCCGTGTTAGCAATTCAGGATTTACGGACGGTTGAACGACCTAATTCTAATTTTGAAACGAAGACGTCACTTATATAATTCGCTTTAACATTGTATTGTTTTTGTTGCAAAATATTTCATCTGAATTGCCGTACATCTTTACTGGGTCATGGTGCAATCTGATGTGTATATTATCTGGGAAACATGGATCTGTGTTGGATTAGTCTCCGCATTATTTTGAATGGAACTGCAACCGATTGTGTTGTAACGGCGAATTATTTTTATTTGAATATGAGCATTAAAATTTAGTTACGCAAGGACTTATGAATGTGTTTATATAATGTAGAACGCTACCTGAAAACTCATTAAGGGTTATGTAAATAAATAATATTTATTATAATATAAATAACATACATCAGTGAGTAGTTCTGAGTTCACTTGTAGTGTTTGGATATCTTCTTTAGAAAAGTTGTTAGGTAATACCGAGAAAAATGTGTGAATGATTCAAAACTTACCAAGAAAATATACAGGTTGTTTCAGAAAGACCTCCTGTAAATACAGGGGGTGATAATACGACAAAAAATAAGAATTTTTTGTCTTATGAACGATATGTCTATCTACACTTGTTTTCGAGATACAGAGCGACAAAATAAAATTTTTTAAATAGAATTTTTACGAAAATTTCCAAATGGTGCGAAATATTTTTATGAAATTTAGTATTCCGGGGTTTTTAAGGACGCCAAATACACTGGTCTAATTATTTTTTGTATATTTTATAGAGGGCGCTAGTTATGCTACATTCGTATTACATTTTAAGTTCTAATTTTTTTGAGGTTAGGTTTTTTAGCATTCGGGCTCCAATTTCTAATGTACAATTTTATTTGGCGTTATTTTTTTGGCGTCCTTAAAAACCCCGGAATACCAAATTTCATAAAAATATTTCGCACCGTTTGAAAATTTTCGTAAAATTATATTTAATAATTTTTATTTTGTCACTCTGTATCTCGAAAACAAGAGGAGATAGACATATAGTTCGTAAGATAAAAAATCGTATTTTTTGTTGTACATTTCATGTACGGGGTGTCCAAAAAAACAAAAAATATGTCTGAGGTCAGAGGAGTAGACTACCTTTACTTTTCCATGGTAAAATCATTTTAAATACCTTTGCTTTTTTTCGTAAAGTATAAAATAAATCAAAAAAATAATTTACTTACTTTTTAAATTTAGTAAAAGTATGTTTAANTCATGAATATGGTAACAATGACGAACTGATAATTAGAAAAAGTTAGTTATGATTATGAATCTTGAAATGGTAGGTACATGAAAAACAAATAACATTACTGAAAAATAATATAAAGTTATAATTTCTTCTACGCATGGTCAATATTACATATATCCTTTTAATAATAATAAATTATACAGCAGAAATAAGGATACAAAATGATATCTTGACAAAGTAAATATCTGTAGGTATACCTACTCTTTTATTTAAGCATGCCTATACACATAAACAAATATAAACATTTGTACAAAATATAAAATAAATGACGTCTATTTCACTTGATTCATCCATATTTAAAATAGTTCTCACTAAGTAGTTGCTCTTCAAATTATATCGAAACGTATAGTTGTTGATCCATTTTTAGTTCTTGTCCCTTGTCCTCTTGTCTGTAATAGGTAGTGGGTATAACTATATTTAGGTAGATGTGACGCAAAATTGGAAATCTCTATACGCACATATCGTTTTAAACATTTTGCATCAATATTCATTATTTTATATGCACCTTACAATAACCACAACTGCACACACTACAAATTATCACATATAATAGCGTCAAAGTAAAGATGAATAACAACGAAACCAAGTAAACTGACAAACCGCAAACCTAACCTAACTTAATATGAATTGAAACGACAAACGGGAAACAAATAAACTCGGGCTGTTACGCGCAGTCTACGCAAGTCACGAACATAGATTTTTTCTAGACTTGTGTTATAAATATGCTACCACATTTTTTTTTCTAATTATGTCTATATAACAAAGGCAAATGAACTAACGCTTGAGAAGGATTGGGGATTGAGAGCAAAATTTAACTCATGCCGAATGTTCCATAAGATAAGCAAAAATAGCAAAGGGTTGTTCGTCTGTTATGTTATGAGATCGAAAGGGAATGTTTCGAGTAATGTTTCAAACTCTCTTCAATTTTAACGTTTCGGCTATGTTTCACTAAATAAGTTTTCAAGTGCTACATTTCTGTAATGAAACAGAAACGTTTCTAGTTAATGTGTCAAATGTTTAGTAAAACATCTCATTTACAACGTTTCATTTACGTTTCGTGTTTAGTGGGGGGTGTTTCAGAAAGACCTCCCGTAAATACAGGGGGTGATAGTACGACAAAAAATAACAATTTTTTATCTTATGAACTATATGTCTATATCCTCTTGTTTTCGAGGTACAGAGCGACAAAATAGAATTTTGACGAAAATTTCCAAATGGTGCGAAATATTTTTATGAAATTTAGCATTCCGGGGTTTTTAAGGACGCCAAACACGCTGGTCTAATTATTTTTTGTATATTTTATAGAGGGCGCTAGTTATGCTACATTCGTATTACATTTTAAGTTCAAATTTTTTTGAGGTTAGGTTAGCATTCGGGCTGTAATTTCAAATGTACAATTTTATTTGTACATCTCAAAGTAGGCTTAAGTCAAAACTTATTGATGGATGTCTCATAAACAACGCATACATTCTTAGTAATATTTTATACACTAATTAACTTTATATCAAAATTTTAGTAACTGTAATTAGTCATTACTAACTACAGTCACTAACAATCACTAAAATTTTGACATAAAGTTAATTAGAGTTAAAATATTGCTGAGAATGTATGCGTTGTTTATGAGACATCCATCAATAAGTTTTGACATAAGCCTACTTTGAGAAAAGTCACTTATTTTCTTCACCGTAATATTGTAAGAGTTCAATTAAATGCCTTTTTTCTCGAAAACCGTCCACATTAGGAAGTTCTAACAAGAGTACATTATTTTTAGAAAATTAAATTGTACATTAGAAATGGAGCCCGAATGGTAAAAATCCTAACCTTAAAATAATTTGAATTTAAAATATAATATGAATATAGCGTAACTAGTGCCCTCTATGAAATATCCAAAAAATAATTAGACCAGCGTATTTGGCNTAATGTAGAACGCTACCTGAAAACTCATTAAGGGTTATGTAAATAAATAATATTTATTATAATATAAATAACATACATCAGTGAGTAGTTCTGAGTTCACTTGTAGTGTTTGGATATCTTCTTTAGAAAAGTTGTTAGGTAATACCGAGAAAAATGTGTGAATGATTCAAAACTTACCAAGAAAATATACAGGTTGTTTCAGAAAGACCTCCTGTAAATACAGGGGGTGATAATACGACAAAAAATAAGAATTTTTTGTCTTATGAACGATATGTCTATCTACACTTGTTTTCGAGATACAGAGCGACAAAATAAAATTTTTTAAATAGAATTTTTACGAAAATTTCCAAATGGTGCGAAATATTTTTATGAAATTTAGTATTCCGGGGTTTTTAAGGACGCCAAATACACTGGTCTAATTATTTTTTGTATATTTTATAGAGGGCGCTAGTTATGCTACATTCGTATTACATTTTAAGTTCTAATTTTTTTGAGGTTAGGTTTTTTAGCATTCGGGCTCCAATTTCTAATGTACAATTTTATTTGGCGTTATTTTTTTGGCGTCCTTAAAAACCCCGGAATACCAAATTTCATAAAAATATTTCGCACCGTTTGAAAATTTTCGTAAAAATTATATTTAAAAATTTTTATTTTGTCACTCTGTATCTCGAAAACAAGAGGAGATAGACATATAGTCCATAAGATAAAAAATTCGTATTTTTTGTTGTCCTATCACCCCCTTTACGGGAGGTTGCCATGAAGAACGTTAACATTTCTTGTATGGGGTGTCCAAACAAACAAAAAATATGTCTGAGGTCAGAGGAGTAGACTACCTTTACTTTTCCATGGTAAAATCATTTTAAATACCTTTGCTTTTTTTCGTAAAGTATAAAATAAATCAAAAAAATAATTTACTTACTTTTTAAATTTAGTAAGTCTGTTTAACATAATTTTAAATATAGTAAAGTCTTGACTATACTATACTGCTAAATAAACTTAAAACGGGTCTGTCTATATTCCGATTTAATAAGCCTTATTAATAGATATGTGCGGTACTGTGGTTTTAAATCTAGCACATTCCTCCAAACCTTAGGTGTCCCTCAGGGATACATTATCGGACCTATTTTGTTTATTGTCTTTATGAGTGATATCGCTGTAAATCTCGATATGTAATACTTTTTATATACCGATTATATGAAGATATGTTGTCAGAATGAATCTATTTTGAACTTAATCCACCACTTAATATGAATTGACAAAAGTAGGTTTTGTCTTTCAAAGAACTTTCCGATTATTGTTTGTAGACTTTCGTAAGATCAAAAATCCCCTCTCTATAGGTATAACATAAATTTTTTTATTAGAGAGAGCCCAACGCATATTTTTCTAAATTTTCTGCTTTTGTACTTGATGGTGTTTATCCTACTCGAGGTATTCCATAGGACTATTCTTGAACCGTATCAATTTGTAGAGTCTTGCCAATAGACAAACTACGCACATTTTTATATTTTTGCACGGTCATTCATTGTCAGTCATTAAATGTGAAAGGATTATTAATTTCATTAATTACAGACTTCCAAGATACAACTCTAGACATAATGCTCTGTTTCCAATGCCATTCGTTTTTATAAATGTTTTATCACAAAAAAAAACAAAAAATTTCCTTTGAACGTCTGTATATTGATAATAGTAGAAGTACGCGTGAAAATCAGTACAAATCAATAATTTAAATGCTGTTATATATTCTTACCCGTGTGTTATTTTCCAGCAATTAGACGGTTATATCCCTGGACAAGACTATCCGATTTACAACGAGGTTCCACAGGGTTTGTCTTTTAGATGTGACCAGCGATTGCCAGGATACTATAGCGATCCCGAAGCTCAATGTCAGGTATGTTGACAAGCACAAATATTACTAAAAATGTGGGTATCACTGTTGCAAACAACATCTATTTGCTAATTTACATGGTTTCTTCTTAAACAAAATCAGTTACAGTTGTTGTGCCCTTAAATGTTGATTATAAAAATTCAATAGTTCAATATAAAAAAGAATGTCTAGCAGCAATAGTTTATGTCCTTCTAAAAATGCCAAATGTTTGAATAGTTTCTTTCCTTAATACCCATGAAAGACTACATGAAATGAAGAAGGTATATACACATTATATTTGCTTCTGTTTCAGGTTTGGCACTGGTGCTTGCCCAACGGCCAAAAATTCAGCTTCCTCTGTCCTAATGGTACCATTTTCAACCAGTACGCGAGAGTATGCGATTGGTGGTTCAACGTAGACTGTGCCTCAACCCCCAACTATTACAACGTCAATGAAGATCTTTACAGGGTTCCTTCTTACAGCAACCAACAGCGTCACGATCAACAGTAGATACCTTTGTAAATGATTTGCTCATCCCAGTTACGAAGCGTACTGCTGGTGATAATAGGTCGTGGTTTCCATACTTTGTAGTTCATTTAACCTTTTCACCATGCAAACCATTACAAATTTCTACTACTTTAACTTATTCTATCACCATTTTCAGTAACATGAGTTACACCATTTCTAAAAGACTTGTAGAACCAAAGACATGTCAGTAAAAGTGTAAATCCTTAACATTAACAAATCTGGATAGTGCTATTAACCATCTTTATATGAATTAATTTGTTCTTTTTAATATCTTGGGTGTATTTTTGTAGAATATTTATTTTTTTGTACTAGAAAGTAGTTTTAGATGCCTTGTATTGAAGCAAATTTACTAAAAAGATTATTCTAATGTACATATAGGCACAAATTATCAACTGTCTAGTAAATTTACTTTGATCAAGGCGAATTTGTATAAATTGTAGAGTATTTTTGTATCTATTTATTTTATCGTTTTTATAAATATTTTCTAGAAATATTTATGGCAGTTTTATTTAAAATCTCCTTCTAAAGAATAGTCTTTAATGTACTGATAATTCCAATAGTTTAATAGCTGTTACAGTTTTCAGAAAATTTGTTCAGCATTTTTTAAATAATTCTTACTGAAAATTCGGACAACTTTTCCTAATTCGAACACATTAACAGCTAGTTACAAAAAATAAACTTTTTAAGGTGGCGATCCAGAGCGCAGTTAAATTTCTATAAAGTTTTGACATTTAGTTGACAGAACGTATTTTATAAATATATGGCAACCCATTTTAGTGCATTTTTTTGAGCGAAATGGACATTCTCATGATTCCCGATGTTAGATTTCAATGCATTTGTATGGATTAAAATTGTAAGTACCAAGAATCACAAAAAAATTATGATTAATCTTCTCCTTGTTCCGTAGTTTGCTAGCGTTGATAATCATTATAGGAGAAGTACTATACGTTAACAATTATAAACATAGTTATACTCCCAAGTACTTTTTTAACGAAGTTGCTGATTTTAACGACATCGTTGAAAAGGAAAACGATGATTCTGGAATGGACATTGAAAAAAGATCCTCGGAGGTAGAAAGCTTTGCAACTAAAAAGCATGTGCCAATAAGTCGTAGTTTTAATACATTAGCTTTAGATATTACTAAATCACCCTTAAGGTCTAAAAGTAAAATCCATGACATCAAGAATAGAGAGTCGGAACTCCACAACCATAAAATTCCTAAATTTAATGACATGCCGATTTTAAACGACAATTTCCGATTAGAACCCCATTCTTATCAAAAGCGTACCAAAGAAAATATCTTTGACATATCACAAGCGTACAAGACTAAAGATCGCTCTCCTGATAGTGGGTATTTTATGGTCAAAGAAAAACATTCGAAAGCCAGGCATAAACAGAAACATATTGATCACTCTGGAAAAAAGAAAAAGACCAAAAAACATATGTTCAGAGAAGCTAATTGGAAAAGCATGACTGATGGTGATACAACAGAGCAAGGGAAGTTCTTACAATCAAATTCCATAACCAGTAAGTCATTATTTACTTTATTTATCAATTCTCTTAACGTTTTACTAAATTTATGCAGTTATTAATATCATTACTATTCAGTGATACAAAACTTAATTACCTAAACCCTTGAACCAGTCATAAAGCAATATGACATAGTATCAATCCTACAACATTTTGTTTATCTACAAATTCACTGTAAAAAATATCAGTACAAACAATATAGTCCGGTCAAATTAGTCATAAAAATAGTTGTCAAATAATGAAAATTCCGACAGAGCTAAATTTTGGTGGATACCTTGGGTACACCATTAGAAATAAAGTGTCAAAAGTCTCCATCGATCCCATATGTGCTAAAAAAGTTATTCGGGGTCAAAAGTCAAAATTTGTAGTTTTTTGGATTTTTTTCGAAAACGGTAAGTTTTATCAAAAAACTTGTTCGGATAAAAATTATATATCATAAAATTATTTACAAAAATGGTCCTTACACTTTTTTTTCTAAGAATCACCATTCCTGAGATATCGCGATTCAAAAAGTTGAAGGAGTCACGTTCTACATAATATTCACATATATGCCACGTATATACATAGTCAGGTACTAAATACAAGTAAAAATGCCTATTTGTGTCTCTTATATGTATAAACTATACTATTCTGAGAATATACACTCAAAAGAAAGTCAGTCCCTTAGTCAATCTCCTCTACCCGCATGGCCTTGAATAACATCTGGATACTCTATTGTAAAAACTTTTGTAAAAAATACACGAAACAAGAAACAAGTATAACTGTCTTGTTTTCCTCCAATATCGGCTTCTGCTAATCAACACTTGTATCGAGTATACTATCAAGTTCAGACATGGCTAGTCTATCAACTGAACCCAGAAGACTGGGGTTGGAAATTAACAGATAATACTTTGGAACCGATTCAAACTTTACTCCCACCTGCTCCGGAAAAACTCCTAAACAGTATTTTTTGCAATTGCAAAAAGGTTGTAATGATAAATGTGGCTGTAGAAGAGTAGGGTTACTGTGTTCTCCAGCGTGTACTAATTGCAAAATCCAGTCTTGCTCAAATGTAAAATTGAATACAACAGACGAAGATTCATGTGATTTCGATGAAGAGACAGCTGATTCATCTTCAATTGAACAATTTATGAACATCCAGCAAGAAGAGGAGGAGGAAGAAGAAGAAGAAATCGAAGAAAACATGACTGTTGAAGTCGACTTTGATAAGTATGAATCAGATTAAAATATCAAAAGAAATCAGAACTACAGTTAAAGTCAATAACCAATATCAATAATCATCATGCAGTTAAAAGAGTTTCGTCCCTGAAAATTCCGTCATAACAGTTCGTGGAGTAGGCCTACCGGGGAAACTACGTTAAAAAAATACAAAAAACGTGCCAAACTACACTACCTCACAGGTGGTGTGGAAATGTGTGCATATCATGTAGAACGTGACTCCTTCAACTATTGGAATCGCAATATCTCAGGAATGGTGATTCTTAGAAAAAAAAGTATTAGGACCATTTCTGTAGATAATTTTAAGATATACAATTATTGTCAGAACGACTTTTTTGATCAAACTTACCGTTTTGACATTTGACCCCGAATAACTTTTTTAGCACACATGGGATCAACGGGGACTTTTGACACTTTATTTCTAATGGTGTACCCAAGGTCTCCACCAAAATTTAGCCCTGTCGGAATTTTCGTTATTTGAAAATGTCTATTTTGGCCGGACTAATAAATGTATTGACAATTCTTTTTTGTTAGACACGAACACATACAAGTCGGGCCACTGCAAAAACTGTGAGGACGTTAGGAAGCTCTTCCAAATACCAATATTGGAACACATCTTACTAGACGCGGTAGAAGACAACGATGTATCTGTCGTACGCAATAATACACCCCTAAAGCTTATAGTTAGGAAAGTAGCACCACACGTTCCCTCAGATGTATTGGACAAGCCGGCAAACATACGCTGTCTGAAATACATTCTAAAGAAACGTCGGAAAAGACACGGGACGTATGTCTCTCTGAAGCATAGAACAAAAAATCGCAACCACGTATTTAGGAGAAAGGTCGATCCGTCAGATATACCGAGCAGTGACCAGTACCAAAACATAATTAATTTCATCGTAAAGAACAAAACTTTTGACGAATCGTATACTTTTGTTCCGATAGTATTTGCCACTGTTAGTCCTGGTGTTATAATTACGCAGGGTACCGAAGCAGCGACAGAAGTACAGAATGTAAGTAGTACAACGATTACCACATGCATCCCTATGCAGGTTACCAGTCAACTTGCTACGCATCAACCAGATCCAAGTGCCGAAAGCACAATCCTGCAATCGTTGAACAATTTGGCAGATGAGAATACTAACACATCGAACGACATGCTGTTCCGTGTACCTACCTTTAGTGCATCAGCAGAAACTCCAACTGAAGTTAGCGACCTCACCACAAGCTCAAATCTTGTGGTGGTGAGAAATATTGCACAAGAACTCAACGACAGGGTGCCCCAGTTGAGGCGGAACTTCGCAGAGATACTGAAAAGGGAACGGGAGAACAAATCACTTAATTTTGCAGGAATATTGAAAAGAGAGCAACGTAATAATACCAACGGTGCGGAATCTCAACAGAACAGCACTAACGTTGAATCGGTGACGACAGGACAACAAAACAACAATAATAAGAGTCCTAATTATGCAGAAACACTTAAAACACAACAACCAATCAGCACAAACAGTCCCAATTATGCGAATACACTAAAAACAGAACCCTTAACCAACACAGAAGCTCCGAAAATAGAACAAAATATCACCAACCATCCCAACAAATTTATTTCTACCGAGAGCATTAGAGAAGTCACTTTGCTGGAATCGGGTGCAACTGATACTGTCAACCTGCCAACAACAACTACCATGAATCCTTTGTGCGTGGTATCAACGATAGCACCCAATACCACCATGAGTACTGTTCAAAGTAATACTAGCGGAAGCATCCCTGAAAGCAGTAGTACCGTTGTTAGCAGCGCTGAAAGTTTACAAAGCACTACAGGAATTATAAGTACTGAAAGTACTGCACTTAAAAATTCCGACATGATTCCTGGGATCCTTATTTATCCCAAGGCGAAGTCGATGAAGAAAAGACTAGCTGAAGACTTTTCCGTCGCCGACGATAACGCTGACAATAACAAGTTTCCTGGAATATATGGCGATACGGGAGATTTAAATAAGGCAGCTCTTAATAAAGTAGGTGTCCAAATGCTCATGATTTTTCAAAATTAATGACTTTCAATTTATTACTTCATTAGATTAGTATAGTTTTTAGATTTAGCAGTTGCAAAACACTGTATTGTATATTTGTAGTTTGTAGTAGATTGGCAAGCCTTCTTGAATAAAATCGATGATTGTTTCAGTACATAGACTTCAATCCGCTGCGAAAGCTAAAGAAAGAAGTTGCACTTGACTGCAAAAACGAGACCGATGAAATGTTGGACACCCTCAGCAACCTAGGTGGGGACAACGGCGTGGCAGTATCTTCCATGACCTTTGAAAATATAGATGCATCTTCGAGCACAAATACCACTTCCCCATACGACAACACAGAGAGTTTAACCACAAATGATATAGAAATCCAGACAAATATAGATTTACAATC